GAGCCTCCCCCTTGTTTCCGGGAGCGCCTCGCCCGAAACGCGGCGGCCATCTTGGAAGTTCCGGGACGCCCATATTCCGCGATCGTTTCCTACCGGAAACGCCGACGTTTTATCGCTTTCGGAGCTTTTAAGAACCGCGGGCGGATCTCCATGCACCGCGAGAAATGGCCTGGCGAAATTACCGGGGGTTTCGGCACTTCGCCGAGGGCCGAGCGGCGAAATTAGGGGGATCGTCGCGGAAAAGTTCGCCGGCGAATCCGATCGGCGCCGAAGAACTTCCCGGGGGATTCTACAAGTTTCGGAGTCCCTCCCGATCGCTCGGAATGACCAAAAAACTCGGCGCATTCTCTCCTATGAATAATGATCGGTCCCCGAGTGCGCCAAGTCTTCGTGCAACATTTACGCCCATAACTAATTCGGCGCCCTGGCTAAAGTTTCTCGTCGCTAGTTCCAAGAAAAGCTCCCCCCATGGCGGGGGCGCTCGGAATTTCCGCGGGCTTTTTAAAAAATACATCGCGACGGGACTTTCCGCGTTGATTAATCCGGAAAATACGGCGGGGCTCTGTCGAGGATTCGCTTTCGTGTGGTGCACGAACACCGGGGCGAAACGCAATCCCAATTTCGCCGCGTTATTCTTATGGGAATCCAGCGGAAATCCCTGGCAGAGTGCGTCTCCCAATTTAATAACTCGACCCAAATGCGCGGAATTTCCGGGGGCGTTTACATTTCCAAACAGATTGGCGTGTGGGGAATAATTGGGTGCCCTACCAGGAATTCCGGGTAAGCGATACACTTACACCTCCGTTCCGCACCGAGCTCATGGCCAACGGTGAAACCCGTGCACCCCCAGGAGTAATTGCTCAATGGAAAAGAAGATTACCCCCGCTCCCCCTCGACAGGAGGGAAAAGCCAAGCCCCAACTTTTCCCGATTTCCGCTTCCATTTTGGGCACGAACATAGGACGCTACAAACTGAACCACTCGCATAAAAAGGAGGGAAAAAAGCTCCTCCTAAGCATTTTTCATTTTCTTTTTTTCCTCCACCCTCTTTAGGGTCACATCAGTCCGCAAGGTCCATTCGTCCCATGTTCCGGGTTTCGTTCCGCCGATTTCTCGCTCCAAAACCGAGGAAGGATTCCGCAAGCATTCCGCGCCGATGGATCTAGGCCGACCTGCGGAGAACAAAAGGCGAAATGACAAATTACCGAGGAAACGAGATCGAACCGTGAATAATCCGGCTTCTTTGTAGGTAGGACATTTTATTCGAGGCACCCCTTGATTCCCTCGGAGAAGGGATTACGAGCTTTCTTCCCGGCGGAGCAAAGGATGAAGCTGTACCGAAGGAAAACGAGATCAATAGCGCCGGAGGTCCGTTTCCCCCTCCCGGCAGTGATTAATTGTCCAGGCAACAAATAATACGTCCGCCCCCTATCATCCGGAATTAAGAGTTAATAATCGATGACTCCACCGGCGATTAATTCTCCCGCTGGCTCGAACGTGACTTTTGCGTGCCTTACCTCCTCCTTCCGCGGCCTCCCTCCCTGGATGTGTAATTATATTCCATTAATTCCTCATCTGGAAGTGCGGCTCCCTCGTCGTTCCGTATAATGGTGGGTGGTCGTCGGTAAAAAGAGGTCTCGCTCTCCGGAATTAAAACTGGTCTTCTCTCCCTCTTATCCAAAGGTCGCTGGGAACCGAGATCCAGGAAACGAGCTTCGCGTATATGCGCGGGTATATATATATATATATATATATTTATATAGGAATATATGGGCATATTCCTTTTTTCATATATACCCGCGGTACATCCATATCCGGCAGGGACTGGAGTAAAGAAAAAGGGACGGAATGAAAAGTGAATATCTTACCGACATATTAAATGACCCGACACGCTCTTACGATCTTTCTCCCTTTATTAACACGTACACAACCAACAAACTCCATTCGTCCCTCCGTCACAACCTCCACCCGAGAGTCACACGTTAACGCATCCCGACTTCCACATTTTTCACTGAATTATTTAATTATTTAATTAATTAATTAATTTCCTGGATCGTCGAACGCCGCCGCGTCGCCCACTTTAAATTGAGTACGCATGCCGGCTAGGTTCTAAAACTCTTAATTATCTACACATATCGAGTATAGGCTTCCCGTTCGCGTTTTCTCCGCGACCTGGCGCGGGAAACGTCAGTTGTTAAATCTTCGCCAATCTCGCGGAAACTCCTCGGCCCGAGCGACACTTGCGTACAAGAGATTAAACCGCCCTGTCGGCGATAATTACTCTCCCGATATTAAGAATTACTCCTCCTTCCCTCTGGGGTGAATTAAGATCCGCGCCGGGCGATCCGCACTCCGGAGAAAACCTTCCAATAAATGACATCGACGGAATACAATTTTTCCTATCGACCCTCGAGAATTTAATCGTCCGGACAGAGGATGCACGCAGTCTTCCCAATTACTTTTGCCAAGTAATTATTTCGGGCTGTGAGCAGATCCCTCTATCTTGTTACAAACAATTAATTACCTCGCGCGGCCGTGTCGGTAATTACTTTCGTGTGAGAGGGAATTATTGCCCGTCTCGCTAGTAATTAATTATTCCCTATAATGACGGCTTATCAGAATCAGTAAAAGATCCGTAGCATCAATTGTCGGTCGTCGGGTTGGCAAAACTGTTCCTTCAGTCCGCAAATTGGCCGAAACCATTGACCCCCCCACCCCGTGGGAGTCGATTAGTGATCTCCGGCAGCATCTCACCCCCATTAACATTAGCAATTACTTCCCAGTATCGCCGAATTATTATCCCCCCCCGCGAGGCGTTAATTACCGCCGCCAGTAAATTCGACCCCCCCGCGCAATAATTCCCTAGCATTGGGAGATTAATTATCCCCTTTATGAATCGTCGATTTCATCAAACTGTACTACTTTTCACCCCCTCGGGAGCAACCGGCAAGTCCGAGCCCTCGGCAATGGTCGGATCGGACTAATCGCCTTTTCCGGGGGCCTGCGCCTCCACAATTAGCAATTACTTTCAAGTAACGTCGAAACAGCCCTGCCTGAAAATTAATCACCCCCCAGGAAGTCCGTTAACAGCCCTAATAACACCCCTGCCCCGTAAACTAATTACCCCCTCGAATCGTCAATTTCGTCAAGCCGAATCCCTTATCGTTACGAGCTATCACTCGATATCAAATCATTGGCAGTGTCAGCAGCGATTAATCGCCCTCGCCGGCAACCCCGACCTGCCCTATCGATTATTCCGCAGTAACCCCGAGTTGCCTTAGAGCCTTACGCTAAGAATTAATTACCGCCGACAGAGAGACTGGTCGCATCGGATCGATTAGCCATCTTATCGGTAATTACTCCCCGCGATTACTTTCCGCGCCGGCCAGCGACGTCCGGTTGCCCTGCAAGTGACATTCCCCGCTACTGTATAATTATGCGTATACCTATATATACCTATATACCTATATATTTAATTAATTTCTCGCCTTAAATTACAGCCCTCTCGTTGTTCGCGCGGCGCGTGGTCGCCGAGTGGTCGAGGGGTAGTCTCGAGTTTCCAGGGCAGGTCCTCCCCGAAGGTGTTTCAAAGGTGTTCCGGGAAGTGTCCCAAGGTGCCCCAAAAGGTCTCCGAAAGGACCAGCTCCGCTTTCGGCGACCGGGGGTTGAAGGGGTGCAGAAGACAGAAGTCGGGGCAGAGGGGGGCGAATAAGAGGATACGTGCGCGGAACTCGGCACGACCCATTTTTCGTCTCGACTCTGGTTGGGGCTGCACTCCATGATTTCTTTCATTTTTACACGTCCCCTCTGCCCCACCTGGGGAGGTTTCATCCCCTCCAGCTCTTTCAGGGCGCGGTGGCCCTTAAACTTGTACGTCGAGGTCGTTTTCAGATGCGCAGTCTAGGCCCTCGTTAGGTACCCTCCGGGCTCGTAATTACGCGCCCTAGGCTGAAACTCCTGGCCTCGAAGGGTAGGTTCCTTCCTCCGGGGTGGATCCGTGACCGCTGGCTCGGCCTCCGGAAATTGCGTTCGATTAACGGAAACGCGATCCCGCAACCACCCGGCGTCCTCGCGATTAATTCCCGGGGACCTTTCACGGCCGAGGGAGGGTCTCGCTATTTACAAGTCGGGGGTTGTTCGACTACAGGGTGGGGCCACCCCCCTGGTAACCTCCCAAGTTGACGAACCGCTTAGGAGGGTGCCTTCGTTGTGAGCCGATCGCGTTGCACAGGGGATGATCCTTAGACGACACGAGGACGGCGAGGAGAGCTCTTCGATTTTCAAGCTCCCCGTTTTTATATCCTCTCTTCCCCCCCGGAGGAATTAATTCTCATGGATTTTCGAATTAATCCACCCGTTTGATCAATTGCTCTGGCACTCGTTGCGTCGAATGTCTGCACCCTCCTCGTGTCGACGAGGACCGGTACACGCAGTTTCTCCTTCGCTGCTTTTCTTCTAGCTCCCCTGAGCGGTCAAGCCAGCTCGTTAGAAGAGGCTCCCGACCACCCTGGAAAATCGCGTCCATTCGGGGCTTGCCGAAAGAGAATCCAGTCTTTTCGATCGCCGAGTCTAGGGGTGTCTTTTTATAAAGATGGCAACGGCGAAGAGTCTGCCGGGGGCTTCATCGATTCGCTTCTTCGCGGGAACTCGGGGCTCCTGAAAGGCTCCAGGAAAAGGATTTGGATGGGCGTTTGCGGGCGCGTAGAAAGGATGTGATTTAACGAAAAGGTAAAAAGTACGGGAAAAACCGGAGAGAGGGAGGGAGAACCACGGAGAACACGAGGGCAACCTGGTCGCCGCTTTCCCGGGAGATCCAAGGATCACCCGGCATCGAAAGTCCTTACCGAGGGTCCCGATAAAGGACAACGAACGTATCGGTCGATCACCCTCGAGGAATAAATCCAAAATAATTTACCTGCCGATCGGGATCGGACGAAACTCCGTCCAGGGACGAGGCATGATATCGCCAAAGAGATACCACAAGGATGAGGTCGGAGGTGACGTCGATAAGGGTCTTGCATAAGGATGCCTCGACGGAGGACGTAGACAGGGGGCTTTGGAGGATGCGATTCGAGGGTAATCCCGTGGAGCGCGATGCAGGAAGGCAGGGTGGGTCGGTGCAGGTGCGGGCAGGTGCATCGAGGTGCGTGCAAGTACTCGCAGGTGGGAGCCGAGGGCGTTCAGGGAAGAGAGCCGGCAGCGGGGGGTCCCCTCCTAATGGGAAGACATCGTAATGCCGGCGTTACGTTCGAGGCTGCACTTAAATCTGAATTTATGTCTACGGGTCTATTAAGTGTACCGGATAGCGTGCGAAAGGTTAGCCCCCGCGTCTCCCTAGCTCCGTTCTCCACGGCGAGCTGGAAAAGGACGAGGTGGGGAACGCCATCCTCCTCGTGACCCCGTGGGTATCGAATTATAAATGAGCGCCCGTGCGCAAATCTTCAAGTAGAGAGAGAGGGATAAATAAGGCGGAAGGAGCTGGCGAAAACGTAGTTCCGGGCCTCACCGGTGGGTTACGTAAAGGAGGAGCGAGGTCGGGCATAAAGCGAGGCACATTCGAACCTCCGCGGGAGATATACCTACCTCGAGGTTCGAGATTGCGCTCGGATCTGCAGGGAAGGTCGAGACAAATGGAGGCGGTGCACGCGTGCACCCCGCCGGGGGTGGGTGCGGGAGGTTAGGTAAAAATATGGAGCGTCCTCGATCCTGGGCCGGGGTTCTCCCTCTCCCTGGGTGCACACTCCTCGCGCGCTACCCTGGCGCTACCCTCCACCTTGGCGGTCCCCATTGGTCGAGCGGCCGGAACTCCTCGCTCATTGGGCGCCGGCTCGGCCGATGCGAGCCAAGGGACTGGACGCGGACGGAAGCCGCGGCGCCGGCCTCAATGACGGTGGTTCACGAACGCCAGTAAGCTCGCCAACAGGATGACGAACGGCGGGTTGGCTAGCCTGAGTTGGCCCCCGTGCTGCATGGCCGCGGGGTGCTCACCTGGGAACACAAGAGACGACGTCGTCGCCCATCAAACTCCGGTCGGCGTAAATGCAACCTGGAATTGTACCCGCGACAAGGAGGGAACAACCGACCTCGAAATACACGATTAACGTTTTGGCGAGTTCGACTTCCCATTTCCCGTCCCGGCGAAAACTGCCGAAAAGTTAGGCTAGGTCCTCCCGGAAACTTTCTCCGGGGAGGGATTTTTGTCCACGCCGCGCGTCGTTAAAGCGGAAAAGCGTATTCATCCCGGAGTGGAGAACGCTGTTACCTCCTGGAATAACACCGGGGTATTGCGGGACGGCCGGTTAAAGAAACGAAAAGGAGGACGCAACCCGCCGAGCGCGGAATGATATACGAGATAATCAAGGAACCCGAAGACGTGATAAAAACGGAGAAGAGGGAGAGCGTCCGGAGGCACGCCCTGCCTCGTTGTTCATTAACCCCGGTCATACATAATTCCATCGATAAACGACTTCGTTAGCGGTTAGTCTCCCGGTTAACTTCCCGGACACGGATCCAGGTGGAAACCGACTTATTCCCTTATCGGCGGAGGCGCAGCCGACGATACCGCGTTTTAATTTGCGGGACTTATAAGGCTCCGCCGGGACCGAGGACTCCGCGACTCCTTAACGGCCCCATTGAGCCCGGGAAATGAATTCAGTTGGAAAACTGCGTGGCGCCAACAATGCGCACATTTCCCCGGTAAGGAGCTCGGAGTCGAGGAAACTCGAATGAAACTCGAGCGAAACTCGAGGGTCTTAACGGAGTCCTTCGTACCATTCAGGACGTGGACTTGCACGGTCTTGGTGTTGGCGTTGCTGGGGTGGCAAGTGTACTGCCCACTGTCGGCAGGTTGGGCCCGCTGGACCAGGAGGTAGGACGTGGTGATCTCGCCCTTCTCCGTGATCACCGATACGCCCCCCCTGGGACTGTCGTAATTTATCTCCTGCGTAGTCAGAAAATGGAAGTCGTTAGACTCGCCCGGCATCCCGAGGGACGGGGGAGATCCGGCGACGCCTTGATAAAAGGACCCGGGGAAATCTGCACCCGACTTCCCCAGCCCCGCTGGACCTCGCCAAGAAGGAGAGCTTTTAATGGCCGACATTATTCCCGGGCCCGGAGGTGTCCCCGCGGAATACGCGGAGAAAGTGCCGCCGAATGGCCCGGTAATGAAAGTACACGCGGTTCCGTGTATTCGCGATAAAGCTCGGCTATCTCAGGGGACCCTCGGCGACACCTCCGACAACCTACGACCACCTAATGCAAGGTTAATATCGGAAGAAGCGACTGGGAGTGCCCGTGAAACGGCGCCCTGGATATGCGCCGAGTTCCTCGAATTAAAAAAAAAAAAGCACCGCTATAATTTATAAGAACGTACCAAACAATCGAGTCGAAACGTTTCTCATTTTTGGTACAGTTAAGGCGACGTGAAAGTGCCATCAAAGAGGTCTCCGAATGAAATTTCATTTACGAAAAAAAAAAAAATTATAAACACATATAAGGAAATTTTTTAAAAATTGAAAATTCGTGGGTGTCAAGACCTTCCTTATAGCCTCCATTTTCGCGTTCTAAAGTTTGAAACGATTCGGTGAATCCAGTTCGGAGAAAAGTGTCATGAACCATTGATTCCTCGGATGCCACTTTAACGTCCCCTTAACCAGGGTTAGCCAGGACGGTGGGCGTCGCTTCTGGTAAGTCGAAGCGGAAGGGAAATGGTTTTTTGAAAAATGGCCGACGGCGCTTCCGGGATGCATCGACCGATGCTTCGTTATCGGGAGGCCTGGAAGCGGAAGAGACGCGCCGGGCCGATAGACACCTTATCGTTGTGCGTCCAGTAGATGGCTGGTGGAGGTTCCGGGCTGTGGCGGACGACGCAGGTGAGGTTCATAGTGCTGCCCCTGTTTATGTACATCTCCGGGCCTCCCACGATCGACGTGACGGGCTCTGAAGCATGAGAAGCAGCGAAGTGGAGTTAGGCGTCGCGAGGTCGATCTCTTCCCCCTGGTGGAATCCGTGCAGGAACTGACCGACTACCGAGAGGTGCATCGAGTGTCCTATGGGGGGCGTCGTCGACACCTGGCACTCGTATGTCCCGGAGTCCCGACGCTGCGGATACTTCACCTGGAGGGTCCAGTCCTCGGTCCTGGGGAAATGCGAGGCGACGAACCTCTGGTCCGAGGTGTACGTGTCGATCCCCACCGTCAGCAGGTGGATGTCTCGGTGCCGCACCCAGGACACCTGGAAGCAGAGAATTTCCGTCTCGAGTCCTGTGGGGAGGTCCTTGGCAATCGCTAAAAGGCTAGTTAAATTCCCTGGATGCGACCGGAAGGTCCGAGCTTGATAAGATGTTCGTTGAAAGCCCTTTGGGCGAGGCTCTATCTTCCTCGCCGCGGAGAAGAGTGAGCCTTGCGTTTCTATCCAGGACCTTTAACGGTCGCCGATGCTTTCAGCCACTCCGGGTAAGCGGAACGTACACGGTGGACCATTACCCAGGTGTCCCAGTGGAGGTTATGTCGGCAAGACCCTAGCTTCTAAGCGGAGGCTCTCCGGGACGCTCGTCTAAGTCTACTCTCTGCTCTCCGGTCGATCATCAATACCAAGATTTCTCCCATTTGCCGGCCTTAACGGTTGTGCATTTTTAAAAATCCATTAAAAGGAGGAGCCATCTAGCTTCAACCTGTTGCTGGTCTCGACACGCCACAGGGTTGAATTATTAATAAAGAAACGAAGGGGGGCGGCACAGGTGAAACGGGTCCTGTCGCCGTTGGCACCGAATTCCCGGAAATCCCAGGTGAAAAATAAAGGAAGGGCTGTCGATTCCGATCAGCCCTTTTCCCGGAGTCCCTTCAAGACGCGTCGATGCCGACATTTTCCCGATAATTCCCCGACTCCGCGGGGCCGGGTTTAATAACCGCCGTGGATGCGGTTTTTTTAGATGTTTCGGCTGGGCCAGAGGACGGCGATCGGTCCTCCGGGTTATGCGAGGACGATGATGGAAAAACCGAATTAGGGGCTCTTAATGAGCCTTACCGCGACCTGTTGCCGGTCCCAGGGCAGGAATTACGAGGCTCCCCCGGAGAGTTTACGAAAAGATCACGCCGCCTCCTCCACCGGGGGGGAGGACGGGTGCCAGGGAACGTTCATTTCCTACGAGGAATTCCCGTAATGACTTTCGCGAAGGAGAAACGGGGGGCGGCCATCGGGGGAGGAAAATGCCCCGGCACTCGGCTGCTCCCCAGGGAAGAAGAATGGGCTAAGCGCGATCGCAACTGGCACGCGAGTTCCGCTGCAATTGGCGCGACTCGTTGATTCCTCGTCTCGACGATCGAAGTCTATTTACCCGGAGGGGGGCTCGTAACCTTTCCTCCGAGGCGTCACGTCCGAGCTGTTACTCGGCTCCTTTAACCCCGGAAACGCCCCGCCTTGTAAACGTCATAACCCGGGATCAGCCGAGGATGCGTTCCTCGGGAAAGTGGGAAAGAGAGGTTAGGAATTTTCCACCGTTGATACGAAATTACTGTCAATCTTTAAGAGGGTATTACCGTCTAGAAGCTTGTTTTTTGTATAATTCCTAAAAATTACTTAAAAAACAAGTTCCTAGACGATAATACCCCCTTAAGGAAGGGATTTTTCTTAGTAAAGTTTAGATGTTGTCCTTTCGTCGTTAAACGGCGGTTTTATATTTTTTCCCAAAGAATTTCAAAATACGAGAGTTCGACTGGTGAACGTCGAAAAGAGACTCGGGCCCTCGAAGTGGAAAAGGCAGAATTTATGTCAGGCACGGCCAGGAGTCGTCGCCGTGCCTGACCTGCTCTATTGGGCTAGGTCAGGCTTGGCCCACCCTATTCTCCTAGGTCAGGCACGACCTACCCTATTCTCCTAGGTCAGGTCCAACCGCCAGTCACCGCGATCCCCGACGGGCGCACCTAACCTCGCTTTTTCCTCCCAACTACCGAGACTCCGTCCCACGTCCGCACATATCCACGTACATATGTAATAACGTAATTGGCGCGGCTAGGAGATTCTTCCCTCCGACGATACCGCGTCTATTTACCCGGCGGAAAGCTCGTAAGCCTTCCTCGGAAACGTCACGTCCCGGCTGTTACTCGACCCTCCCCGGAAACGCCGCACCTTATAAACGTCATAATCGAGGATTTACCTACTCGGCATTCGCGGGCCCATTCCTTCGGGAGAGGTCGCTTAATTCCTCCGGTGAAAAAGCTCGGAACGACCGGGAGCTATCGGAGGAATGGCGGGACAGGAATAAAGGGGAGCCCGGCGTTGTTCGGCATCTCGTGAAAAATTGCGATCTCGGGGCTCTCCCGATCGGGGCTCAAAGCTCGAACACAATCGGCGAGCTTGCAAAGAGAGGAAAGCAAATTCCATCCCCCGTCCCCTGCGTCGCTTCCCGAAGATCGATCGACCCTCTCCTTAACCGGGGGGGTAGGAAATCCTAATCAACTTCAATTATTTCATCCAAACTCGAGTTAATCCTGGAAAAGCTCCGCCTGGGCAGATGTCGGGGGAGGCGGAGGACACGAATAATGGGAACCTATCAGCCGGTACTCGCGGGAGGGCGAAGGGAGGAGAAAATCGAGGTAAAGGCGGGGAAAAAAATGGCGAAAAGTCTCGGCCGGGCCTCGGGAAATCGAACCTCCGAGCTCGCTCGCGGAGCAGCATTACCAAAGCCTCCAAAACGTGCAGCAAAACTCCACCTGCTGGCACTCCAGAGCTCGGGCCAGACTTATTTCGTCGCCTTCCGACCCCTTCAGCGACACGAATCTATATTTCCTGGCACGAAGCCGCACTATCGACCTCATCTCGCCGAGAAATTCGACGTTCCCACGTACCGAGTTATTTCGATCCCCCCAACGTGACCCAGTTGCGCCTGCGTATCTCACTTGTTACGAACAAAATCCCACCTCCCCTTCTTAACGAATCGCCCACCCTCGGGAAGACGAAACTCTCGGACGGTCTGGCCACCCTAATTGGGCCGGTATCGCCAAGTTTCGCAACTTCGTCGCAATTCCTATTTTTCCTGCCGACCCACCCCAAGGGAGAATTTTCGGAGGAAATTTCGTCCCCACGTGACAAATTTCGAGAAACAATTGCCGACGACCACCTTTTCGCGAGGAGTCCCACGAACGAGATTTTAGAAATAAATTATAATTGATTTCCCCCAAACTTCCGGGGGAATTTCGTTTAGTTTCCGCCTTCCATAGTCGAGGCGACAATGTCGAGTCGAGAACGGCTTTCCCCGGGAATTCCGCCGTGAATGGCGAAATGCCCGCAAAAACCGCGATCAAATATTTTACCGTCGACGGTGTCGCGTTATTAGCGGGCCGGCAATTAAATGTACACCGTTGCGAGGGTAAAAATAACCGGGCGTGTTTTAATATCAAATTATGCGCTCCCTCAGGAGCGAAATTCGGGGTACGACGTCAGGATCCCCGATGCGTGGACGGTTTCGTAATTCGCGGACAGCGGGAATTATTTCCGAGGTCCGGGATAAATTTTCGAACTCGAAGGTTAACAATCGCATTCATTGAAAGAGTGGGGGGAAATTCCTCCATTTGGACCTAAATCGCGCTTCCAACGTGCATTCGGAAAGCTTAATTCCCGGGGAGTAGGAACGCTCGGTATTTATTTTGAGGTGGAATAAAAAATGAACGGGGAAACTTTCGCCGCGTTCCGCGGTAGTTTGATTAACGGAGAAAGATGTAAAATTCCCCTCCCTGGCATCAAATCGTCCACGCGAGCTCGAAAGCTCCGGGGAACGGCGTGCATCGCGATGCGCCCAGTTTCGCGTTTCATAATTCACGTAACAGCGGTCCGAGGGCCCGAATGCAGGAATTTTTGTAGAACGCAATGGCCAAATATTTTATACATCTCGCAAACAGACACCGTCGTTTTGGTCTCGACAGGGAGCTTTTCAAACAAGCCTTCGCGCACGGGCACTCGATTAATTTGTACGCAACTAACGGAAACCGAGCCTGGAAAATTGTTCCTCCCCAGAGACGAAACCGGGAATTCCATCTCTCCCGGGATTTTATTTCGAGTCGCGTCTAAAACGCGCTCAAAGGAAGTAACGCCGAGGAAGACCTTCGCTAAAAGGTGCGGTGAGATATTTTGGGTAACATTTGAGAAGCTCCCGGAAATTTTCGGACATTTTCCACTCTCCCGGGCGACTTGATTATCGTTGACATAAGAATCTGCCTTTCCACGGAGCCCCGGGGTGGATTTAATTCCTGGAAAATGCAGGAGGGAAGAAAAGGAGAAGAAGGACCAGGGAGGGTAACGCCGGTTTCGGGCTCGTCCTGGATATTTTGTGTCCCGCCGAAAGCTTCCTCGATCGAGAAGAGAAGACTGTCGGACGCCTGTTCGACTTCTCTCTCCTCGGAAAAATTCAAATGAGAATCCTCGACTCGTGCCTTTGCCCTCTCTCGGAGCGTTCCCTCGCATAAAACGCCTTCTTCCCCCCGGACAACCTAATACAGCGTTAAAGAGGGTTCGGGGGAACTTTTTACCATGTAAATTTACCGACATCTTAGTTCCCTGCTATTCCGCGGAGGAAAGAGAAGAGCCCGAAAACTCGGGCCGCGCGCAGACCGGAAGGATCCTTCCAGGATCGCGATAGGAAATTGAACCGTATCCTTCGATGTCCGAGGAAAATCGAGGAAAACAGTCCCCGTATGACTGAAACATTCCATTAAAAGGATAATTCCCCCTCGATTCCCTTTTATTATTATTTATCTTCCTTGATGGACTTTCGCTCCGAGCCAACGAGCAACCGTCGCTCGTCACTTCCAACCCTTCCATCCCGATGATTATACGAGACGCCAATGGCTCTAATCGACTCGTCGAGCTTTTCCCACCGAATTTGTCGGCCGGTTAGAGCGATTCCCCGGGATTGTTTACGAGGGTGGAAGAAATAAAGGAAGAGGGGCCCGATGAAAATTCATCGAGTGTCACGTCAAAGTCCCATCGGGGAAGCCTCGACTGTCTCGCCGGGCTCGAGAGTGGCTCGTTATTCCGCGTATCGCCCTGCCCCGAAGAGATTCATGAATTCTACCCGCGGCGGAATTAATTCCGCAGAACCGAGCCCAGGACCCGAAACCCTTTCGCCCGATCTTTCCTTTTCATCCCGCGGGAAGATCCTCCCGTTTCGGGAGGGTGGACGCACCGCGAGTGGCTCGTTACGTCTCTCGTCGTTTACCCCGGAATTCATGAATTCCGTC